CCCCCCCCCCCCATTTTGAGAAACCCCTCGCATACCCACGTACTGTTGAAGTGCCTCCTATGTCACCAAGGCCAGATGACAAGCATAAGGACAAGCTGCGGGGCACCTACAAGCAGCCTCTCCACAGCTGCAGAAGAAGTTGATAGTGATGCCGGCAGGAACAATTTGTAGGCTATACTGGATTGCTGTTAAGAAACTTAGTTCAAGTCTTAATATGGTAATAACTTTACAAAAGTTCCTTAACAGCAGCCCAGCATAGAGACGGAGGAGGATAGCAGTTGTAGCAGTCCTGGTACTGACGTCTTTGCTGTCGCCGCCGTTTTACCGGCAGTAGCAACCCCCAAGACATGCGTTCGTGTTTGGCAAGTGGCTGCGGCCCACAAGTTCAGCGTTTCGTTGCGCTGAGGATTCACTTGTCTCGCTTCCCTCAGATTGTGGCGGAGCGGTTAGCCTTCTTCTTCCAGTCCCTGGAGAGGATCCAGGCCTAGTCTGAGGGGGGTTCAGGTCCTTGAGCTTGGGGGCAATCACGTGCATTCCCTGTGCGTTGACAGGGGTGGGAGAATGTTATGATGTTCAGTTTCTTACTGGGGGTTCGTGGGCAATCAGGGAATGTTTTATACAAGGATAATGTCAGGAATATATACAGCGCCAGTGCTGGACAAGAAAATCCTTCCGGGGCCAGGGTAGTCTAGATTTCTTATTCTTTAAGCCACTTGTGCGGGCGAATTTCACGGTATCCGTCATGTCAGAGTACTCTGGTTTTCTTAAGCGTGCTTTCTTATGTTCAATCCCGCCTGCTACAAACAAAGCCCCACCTCTCAAATAGCAAACAAGAGCCAGAGGATGTTTAGGTCTCTATCTATGAAAAAGAAGACCGGACTCTGAAGTTTTCTTCTTTTCATTTTTTTCCGGGCCAGCTCTGAATAAGAACGCCAGAGTCTGGGATTTTCTTATTTTGTTTTTTTTTTTGAGCTCCCAAGGCTTCCATCAAGGCTTGCAAGTCAGGACCTCCTAAGGGTCTCCCACCCTAAGCCCTAAACCCCTCCCAAGGGTCTCCAAAGGCTTGTCAGGGAATTCCAGAGGCCTTAAGGTTGAGGCTTTGGATTTAGGACCAAACTTGTGACCCCAAAGCAGACGGCTGGGCCAGGGTACTCTGGTTTAGGATTTTGGATTTAGGGTTTAGGGTTTAGGATTTTAGGGCTTAGGGGTTAGGCTTATTTGTTCTGATTGTAGTCTTGCTTGTAGCTTTCAGGCAGTGGGCCTTCCCTTTCTTATTCCAATATATTTTCTTAAGTCGTGCTGTTACTGTACCCTATTCCCTACGGCTGACATGTGGTGAGTATGTGCGCCCTTGACTTTCGGTGGTGAGTGTGGATCAACAAGAGGATGCCGGAGGCTGTTCGGTGGTTTAAGGGTTTAGGGTTTAGGGTGTAAGGGGTTAGGGTTTAGGAAAGTAGTAAGAGCCTCACATATTTGTAAAACTAAATCTACAACAGTCATCCCAAAATCAAGCTTTCCGCCTTTGCTAGTTTACATAATTCTGGCACCCGTCATAAAATCAAGCCTTCCGTTCCAATAGTATGGCCAGATACTTTCAATTGTCGCAAAACAGAGTAGGAGAAAGAAGATTGCCAGGAGCCGGGTGACGGAACCCAGGCAGAAGAGACTGACAAGCGACCTATCTGCAAGACCTTTCATGGGGTATTCCTGGGAAGATCTCTCTACAAGTATGGACCCTAACCCTTCCATGACGTTATATAGCCTATAAGAATTGAAATTCGAGAGGGCCCCTAAATCTATCCCAGTATAGCTAGTGGTTTGAGTTTATCGCGTTGACCTACGGAAGTGTATGGTCTGGCATGTCCGAGAATGGTGGACCATCGTCTTCCAACCCAGGCCCGCAAGCCTTGAGTCATGTCCCCCAGTAAGTGTCCCTAAAGGGGGTTGTATTAAGGGGCCGTTATAACTCCTATTATCCATTGTGGTAGCTTGCTATCAGGGGGGAATTACCCAAGATAAGCCTAAGAACAAAGCATCCTGGACAATAGCTATGGCAGAGTTGCCTGCATGATGGGAGTCAAGGGTGGAGGCGCTGCTTTTGCAGGTTTAGGATGTTAAGGGTTACATGGGCTATAGTCTAAGCTCCTTCAAGGGGTTATATAGGGGATATTAGGGGATTATATAGGGGAGTATCATACGGGTTACCAAGGGGGAGACTAGGAGTCCAGACTACAATTCACATGGAGTTATGGAGAGGATTTAGGGACAGCATCCCAACAACGGAGAATCAACTGGACATGAGAATAGAGCATGAAATTGCAACTGCATTGTATGGGGTGTATTGGGAGATTTAGCAAGATTGTCGTCCCAGATTCCATGCATGAATATAGTACAGGGTACTTGAAACAGATCCCACAATGATCATTCCGCCCTCTGCATCAACCACAACTCCAAAAGAAGAGAGGTTGATACACGGCCATCAGATATGGGGTTTGACCTCATACAAATATGGGGCAATTAATTTTCTTTAGTGGCGATTTCAGGACCTGATATTCAAATCAACTACCAGATAAGGAAGCGCAACAAATTTGGTGGCATGTCTGCTGGTTCACATGGTGGTTCTTCAAAAAACAATCTGTTCTCCAAATGGCCATCGGGTAGGTCCTCCCTTCGTTGCACCGGCCTTTGGAACGACCCCCGCATCATGTGCTTGCAGACGGCTGAGGCTGACATCAGCCGAATTTGAGCCGGGAACTGTACCATCCCTCACCCAGATCATCCCTTGCTACCAGGAGGCCCCGGTCTGTGCTGATACGTTTCATGATTCCAATCCGTTATGCAATCCTAATGATGGGATGAAGAGATTGGGATTCAGTCAATTCTTGCCCCGAATTAGGCGTAAGGTTGGGAGATTGCAGCATGGATGCCGCAGTTGCTGGAAGGTAGAACCAGGGGTGAATCTTTTAGCTACTGCATGCCATTGGTTGTCATCATGGCATCAAGGACTGCATGTTTGGTGTCTTCTTGGCGTGTAAAGGCCCTTCCACGCCAAGGTGCCTCAAAGCTGAGCCCACAAATATGAAGTTGCGGCGATGCCTTAGATCATCTGATTGAAAGCAGAACCACGGGAGCAAAACAGCCAGACAAGCAGAATACAGTCGGCTCCACAAGCCCTGGGCAACCACATTGGCTAACTGGAAAGCTTCAAGCTGTTCAGAATCCCATAGCTTGAGCCTCAGTCCCATGGTTGGTTTTGCCGTGAAGTCTGAGGATCGTAAGGAGCCGTACGATTCAATCTATTTTGTTGGCTTACTACCCAGAAGAAGCAACAAAGGAACTCCTGTAGGCGCATGCGCCCCTTCAGAGTTTTGTGCAACCTTGGCAGAAACCCCAAGCCCTACGCCCTAAACTCTGAATCCAAACTCGTGTAGTAGGTTTTGCCACATGGGTGGTTGTCAAAATTATGGTCCCTTTTGGATACCCTAAATATTAGGTGCCGTATTATAATAGGGACCCCAAAAAGGGGCCATAATTTTGACAACCTCCCACATGAGTTGCAACTTGCTGTGCAGATGGTGATCCCATCATCGGACTTCCTGCGGAAGGGCTCCTCACCGGAGGCTTGCAGGGTTTAGGGTTTAGGATTTAGGGTTTAGGGTTTAGGAGGACCCCCCACCCTGTAATAGTGGTATATTAGGAATATAAGAGGACCTTAAAATAGTCCCTACTATCCCTTCTAGTCACTATTACTGGGTGGGGGGTCCACCTAAGTTATCACTATTGTTATCATTAGGGTTTCGTATTATTGGCAGTCATGTTACATTGCTATTTTTTATAATACCTCTTGCATACTAACATTATGAATGTATCATTGTTCTTATTACCACATTACTATTAATGGTCGAACGAGTCGAACATATCTCCGCATTAGTGATGATGTTGATCGTGTATTGTTGGTAGATTATCTTTTTTACATAGCACAATATTTCAATATTGACTTTTAGACTCGTACTACATTAGGCGCATTTTATTGCTGCATCAGCTGCGGGGGTTTAGGACGGGTAGATTATATTGCTTAATCTTGCTGCAGGATGCGAAGAACCAGAGCCCCAACGACGAGCCGGAACCTCACATTCTTAGGGCGGGTGCCTGCGGGCAGTTGCTGGTGCTGTTTGTCAAAGCGTGCTTCTATATCATGTCATTTGTGAATTCGTTCCGTTATCTTGTGGACAGCACTATGTTGGATCTTCTTTCTGCTACGGCATCATCAGTTACTAGGTGAAAGCCACAGAGGATTCTTCATGGGTGCTGTCACCTTGCTCATCTTAAGCCCATTGTTTCTCCATAACCTGTTGGTCACCTCGCTTTTTAACTTGTAGAGGATGGTTCTTACGAGGGGTGCTAGTGTTAGGGACGACGTTGTTTTGGTGCTTTTCCGGAGACAATGCACATAGGTCATGCAGTGGTGGAATCTAAGTGCCACACGCAAGAATGCTCAAGGACCCAACCCCCAACATCCCCCCACAGAAAAACTGCTTCAGAGCAAAGACAAAGTCATTTGCTGCAGTGTTCGCGGCACAGCTAAATAAAATGGTCCCCGACTTCACTATGATGCAAATACCGGCTCCCAAATGAAACTTGCTAGGTCACTAGGAGCAGCAGGTGTTTTTTGAAAGGGCCTCCCTTGGTGGTGCTGACCAGGCACGGCATCGGCGATTTGACCGCCCCGCCACTCGGCGATGGGGCGGCACCCTGAGCTATGCTTTCCGAGCAAAGATGACAAGGAAGCTTCATGAGACCGAAACCTGACTCATCACCATCAAGCATGACAGATCTACTACTTTCTATCTGCTTGAGAAGGACATTATGTTACTATGCCCCAGACTCCAGAATGAAGGCACGTGCATTCAGAGGAGGCTATGTCTTTTCTCGCAGGTTCTTGGGATGTGTATCGATTCTTGGGTAGCAGCTCATCTGTTCAGATAATCATATCAGCAAAAGCACCCCATGCCCAAGAAGCTCCAGTGGAGTCACATGCTCGAAGGTCAACACAAACCTGGCCTTCATCATTTCGCAGTTTCCGGACGAGTGGCTCTTCTTTGCGAAGAGGCAGCTCAAACCATCATGCTGGTGCCTGAAGGAATCTGTTTGGACAAGATTGCGTTTTGGCAAGCCGACGCTACGCTGCAACCTGTGAATGCGAGTGTCACTGCAACTTGTTGAAGTTGTGGTTGCGAGTGCAGAGCGAACTTCTGCTGTCGTGCTGAAGTCCATGCAATCACCATGCATCCACTATGCAGGGTCTACAAGGACGAGCGAGGTAGTGTGGTGACCTCAGAAATGCATGAATTGTTGCGGACAGGTCTGGTGCATAAAGAGTTCGCAAAAAGCAGAGAGTTATGCTTGCACTGAGTTCCTTGAGCTCTACAAGCTCTTCATAGAGGACGTGGGGCATGTTGACTGTTGACTCTTGTGATCGGCTCCTGGAAACTCTTGTGAGATGCCGTTTAATGTTGAGCTGACATCACTTGTTTTGCGTTTTTGGTCTATGGAGAGGGTCGCAATACTAAACCAAGGGGTTGGGGTAGGACCAGGTAGTGCAGCTCGTTGTAGTTCCTAGTAGTACCAGTAGAAGGGAATCTATGACAATCCGGATATTTTCCGGCGGACAACATTATTCTTGTCACCCCTGTATTATTGCCGCGGGACCTTTTTAGACTTTTTCGCGCTCCGAACTTGTTAGAAAGCAAAGGTAGTCTTCCGGAATCTTTCTGGGACCGGCAACAACATATTATTGCCATCCCCTTTATTTATGGTAGCTCAACATTACCCAGGGAGTTCACGTTCATTGCTGCTTCTGCCATTGTAGCAACGGGCCGATTTCAGTTTGCTGTACAGGTGGCACGGGAGCTTGTAAATTGACGGCTATTGCAACGGTGTTACAAACATCATAGCGTTATCAGTTGCAAGCATGTCTGGAGGAGCGGGAAGGGCAAAAGTCTCAGAACCGTTTGCGGTTGTAATATCGAACAACTGAAGTCACGTTTCGCATTGCAATGCTGCCTGCTGCTGCTGGTGCTGCTGCTGGTGCTGGCGACGACTGTGCGACAACTACCATACCACTAGAAATTGATGCTAACAGCCATTTGTAGTTCTCCCAGTCGTTCCTAGACCCTAAACTTCGCACCCTACACCTAACCAGCCATCCCCCATACCTCAAATCCTGAACCTGTAAAAACAAGCATTAAACCTGGGCAGGGAGAATGAGGCTTTTCCATTTAGTTCTCCATTTTTTTGGGGGGTAGTTCCCCAAGCCCTTAAACCCTAAACCCTAAACCCCTGAAGGCTATGCAGTTCCTAAACCGTAAGCCTGGGTGAGGACAAGCTTCCAGCTCTGGCGGCGCCGGGGCAGCTGGGCCTGGACCTGGAGCTGGAGGTTCACGCTTTGGGGCTGCAGCTTGAGGGTTTTAAGAAGTAAGGGATTCAGGTTAAGGGCTTTGGGTGCAGGGCTTTGGGGTTTAGGGTTTAGGGTTTGGGTTTTTTTTGGTTTATGATTCAGGGTTCAGGGTTTAGGGGTTGGGGTTTCGGGTCTAGGGCCCGGGTCAATGGCGGGAAGCTGCAAGAGAAGTAGGAGGAGGATTGAGCAATGTAGGGGCCACACTTATCGTAAACA